CCAGATTGCATCGTGCTGAGTCCCTATTGATTTATCCTCGTTCCGCTCTCACGTGTGACTCCTATTGGCCGTTGCATTTCGTTATTTTTCTGCTCGATCGTGCATAACTGTTGGTTCCTATTGGTTATTCGGTTGAAGAGAAAGTCTCAGCCAATTCATGCCATTTTTTCTGATGTATATAAACCGCCTTACTTCGTGGCAAAAAAGATCTGTTCCTGTGCTCGAATTTGGCTTCTTCCTTACCCGAGTTGACGGGTTACCTCCGGACGACACAACAATGGAGCGATTATCTCAGCCACTGTTCTTGCATCTTGAGTTCTTGTTTCTGAGGCACAGCACACGTCAATACCAAGCGAGTCTAGAGTGAGAGCAAGAGCAGCCTGTTGACCAGCTTGCTTCAGAGGTGGGCATTGAAGGCTGCCAAATAGACCGAGCGTCGAGGCTTAAAGATTGATTTCGAGATATCTGAGGATGTCCGCGCCGGATGACGATCGAATGTTGCTCGCAATACCGATTCAGGTGGAATAAAAGTGCTGAGCCTACAATAGAGAAGTCAATAGTGGGATAGGTAGAGGGGAAGGAAAAAGTGCATTCCATGGTTGTACGCTGGCTAGGATACTGCCAGAACACTCATACCTAGACAGGAGGACGATTGGGGTCCTCAACCAAAGTCTCTGGCCCAAAAGCCTGACCACGGTAGCGGTGCTTGGTGGGAAATGCATATGCGTTCCCGATTTTACGGAACAAGTCGCCACACATGTTCCAACACCCAACCTGGAGGACCAGGAGACCGTGTTCTTCAGACCTCTAACCACTAACCTCTCGCGCGCGCACACCCCAGTACATCTCTGTGGGTCGCCGAGGTACACACACGGTCACACCACGGTAATGTCTATACTCTTCGTAACGGAGACTTGTTGCCGTTTGCTTGACTGTTCATTCTTAACCTTCTTGAATTAGCTGAGTCTTGATGAACAAAGTTCCATCCAACGTAGTCCTTACGATCACTGCGCCACCCAAGCCCGACCAATATGTCAAGGTGACGGTCGTTGACCATCCACTTTTGTGTTTAAACCGCAGTTTCAGGACGATAATGGCTGTGGGACAAACATTCGTTGATATATCTGTGAAAATGGTTTGGATGCGATTACGTGGGCACTGGAGTGTGGTTGTACTCATTAGCAACTCTGTCGGAAAAGCATAGCGTATCAACGACTGGAAATACAAAAAGATGCCTTGCAGTTAGACAAGACTATAAGGGTCCTTGCAACTTCATCAGGAGTGTGAGGGCAGTGAAATTCTCCAATTGCTGGGTCCGGTGATTGTACCATTGTGAGAAACTTCGTCCTGAACATTCAGTCCAAGCCACCTAATAACAGAGGTCCTCCTTGTCAGGGGAGCGTGAGGTGACCTATACAGAAGTATGACTAACGGTTCTACCGTGCACATCAGCTGCAGTTGAGGTAGCTCAGTGGTTGAAGGGTTAATTTGCCGACCTGGCGTGCTCTGATCACGCACTAGAACACGAAGTCCTGACTCTCACCAACGTTCTGAGAGACAACGGGTTCCCTGACAAGTTTATTATAAAGTATTTGAACAGGGGAGAAGCCAACACCGTCATCACCACAGCTGAAAAAAAACCGGGTTACATTAGCCTTCCGTTTAAAGGAGATATACCGGCCGGCCTACTGAACAGAAGACTTTCTACCAGTTTGAACAAAATTTTCCTGGCCGCAACACTACGAATCTGGTTCACAAGCAATCGTCTGTGCTCCTTTAATCTCACAGAGAGTGCCTGTTCACGCCAAAAATATGTCGGTGTACCCATTCTCTTGCTGCTGTGTAGCGGAATACATCGGACGCACGACTAGGCAAGTCAGCCAAAGAATGAAGGAACACAATCCACCCTGGCTAGCTTCTGAAACTAGGAGAACGATAACCAACTCAGTAGTACAACACCTAGCAGACGCGGCGCACAACGTGATGCCCAGCCAAAGCTTCTGCATTGTTTACAAGACACCAGCTCATCAACCCAGATCAGTACAGCAACTCACAATCGCAGTGGCTGAAGCTATCGCCATACGACATCGCGACCCGATCCTTTGTCGGTAAAAACGCTTAGTTCATGTGTTGTACTTGCCATGGTCCAACTCACCTACACCCTGTGCTGGACACAACCACAGCACTACCCGCACTGACAAACTCAAGCCACTCTATTGGTGACCTGGACTAGATGTTCTTCGATAAGCAACTAGTGTTCTCTCACTCAATTTCCTGTCCATTTACACCATGCCCATTCAAATATGCTAAATACTTCTCCCTTAACCTTTGCAACTTTGCGGCTTGAAAAGGCTGACATGTTTGTCAACTCATCTGTTTTCTTGTCATAAATGGGAGTCTTCGGAATACATCAGGACAATTAGTATCTGTTAGTAAACGCTCGTTTCATGTTTCACCCTTACTCTTCACTCGATTTTTCCTAGGTTGTCACGATCTGGCCGTTCATCGATGGCCGCGCTCCCGTGCACCTTAGCCGTTCATGGGAATAGTACCGCAGCTGAATAAGCGAACAAACTGATAGTGATACAAAGTTGCGTTCCACGACACCGTTTTCTTGGTTTACCCTCAGTGTGTGTGCTAAACGTGTACATGTAATTTCCATTGTGCAAACGAATTGTATCGTTGAACGGCTCTTCTTCCATTTCAGCGTCATCAGGAGTCGTCTGTCGAGTTGCTGAATTGTGTTACTGCGATATCTCTGTACAAAACCAATTTCATCTTCTATTACCTTCGCCAAAAGTTGGCCTACTGAATGCACATGAACCCTTTTGAGTTTTGTTGTTCTTCAAAAGATGTCCCCTTCAAGCGAACATCTGGAATCATGCTCCACGTCGTTTAAGCCGATTATTTCCGAAATTGTCGGCCATATGGATGCGATAATACTCACATTCTGCTCACTCGGCATTTGCTTATCAAGTTTACCCAACCTTTCATTGTTAGTCTTACTTTCTCTCTACCTATGCTCGTCTATAATCTCAGTTCTCAGGCCTCTACCGACACGAATGATGCACAGCCATTTTTCAAAGGTTCTATGGCCTCTGTTGATCATTTTCATGGATCCTTTGATGAACTTGGAACAAGCATGAAGGCGAATGCAACTAGTGGGGTATTTTTCTACGCCAAATGGGACTCAGAAGCTATAGAGGCGAGAACTACTGTAAGTGCACTGCATTCCTTTTCCCCGGTAAAGGTAATTTGCGTTTCGGGAACTTATGTAGGAATTTATTCCAGTTGTATTCTATTGACTGTTGGATTCCAACCGGGTCTTGTCGAACCCGAATTAGCCTGAAGCGTTTCCCGCAGCTTACACTGTATGTGAACGATGCAGCGTCTTTGGAATTGGAGGATTTACGTTCGGTCCACCGTGCAGCCGATCTTGTCGCTTATGTGATGAAACCGCTTGTTTTCATTCACTCAAAATCGGACCTTATTCAACTGACGCTATTACACAAGGTAATGCGAAGTACACTCCTTTGCCTACTCTCTCAGTTTATAGTTTTGGGTTATTTTGGATTGGGAGCCGCTGACTCGAAGGATTTCTTGCGCTTTCGTCAAGTCTCCCTATTAGCTTGCAATATGCTTCCTCAAAACTTTGTTTGTGGACGGGATATCGTTTTCGCAATAACACCAGTTGCCAATAATTGGACGGGGGGCAAGTCTGGTCTCGTGCAGTTCTATCTGACGTGTAACTATTCGGTAAGTGTCTCGCTGATATACTAGTGCCATTTATTGCCATCCTGTTTTTTGTCCTTGTTTACCTTCCAGCTGTTTTTTACTTACCATTTGCTTGCAATTCGGAGCCCTCGGTAGCTCGAGGAGCCGGAAAGCTAGAACCCAACCCCGGCATCTCGAATAGTCCTGTTTAGGCTTTGGCATCCGTGTAGTATCTCAGCCCTGGTGTTTTCTCCGAGTCACAGGATAGCTAGGGCAAAGAAAGGATGTTACAGCTGGGCGATTTTTTATGTGGCCTGTAATTTCACTAATTCTGAGTTTGTGAATTCTGACTGCATGTTTTTTCGCTTAATTTTATGTCGCTGCCAGCTTCGCGAAACAACCATATATTTCAATAAAATTCCACCTCTTTTGATTGAAAGTACCCCCTGTTTGGCACTTGTAAACGGCTTTCGGCTGTCTAACGAGGTAATAACTTGAGCGGCACCTCAAATACTTGTTTTACAGGGAGAATGGCCTGTCTTTAAAGCGCAGCCATTCCCTCCGGTTTTCGGTTGGCACCGTTTTCATGTGTTCATTATAATCATCGGACAACAAGGACACCAAAATGTACTACTTCGACGGGTTGCGTTGGGGCATTCCAGATTCCCGAATTTCAACAGGGGACAACGATGAGCACACGAGAATGAATTTTTCGAATCGAGGTGTTATCGCTGAGTCTTTTAGCTTTACTTTTAGCTTCACTCTCACTGGTAGTACTTGGTGAATCCGCCTAGGAATAGCCCCACCCCAATCAAGAAGATAGTTTTAGGAGCGTAAATTTTTCCGTTGTTGAATTTATCGGTTGACTGCCACAATGTTCTAAGAATATCTGATACATAACCTTTCATCCTAGTTAGTGGTCATCGGGAATAATTCTGGCAGCTGAGGTATCACGGCATTGTCGTCATCACAAGTGACAGCAACATCAATGTCTCAACTGATGTTTCACTGCAGTACAACCACAAACTGTACTTGATTATAATTGGAGCCCTGGAGTAAAAAAGGCTGGATGGGAAGGGAGGCCAGTGCCAACCTACCGCAAGCATTCTTAGATGCCTAAACCATCAAACATGCAATCAGACAATCTGGAAAGAGGCCGACAACACGAACGCCCTTAACATCTCAAAATATATCCGGCCGGGCACAGAGAGAGAGAGTCACATGGACGCCATCTGGAAAGAAGGGCTGCAGCATCAGCACCCTTTTGCCAAGTCACATGTCGGCACCCAGGAGATTCCGCCATTCTGAAGGAGGGCACAGAAAACAACACTTATCTGAATAGGCGATCATTCGGCAGCGTAACACATGGCCGAGCCACAGCAGTTGGTACTTTGGATGTTCCCCGCGACCGATATACCTGATGCCCAATCGAGCACTCATTTTCCCATCATTTTTCTACGACTTCACCGATACCATCCTAAACCAGCAACACTTGAGACACCAGTGGCCGAAAATTTGAAACCTCAGGACATCAGCCCGTAGGGACTGACCCCTAACCCTATGACGGCGCTCACTCTTTTCTGGCATGTCAAACCGCCGAGGCATGTAAAATTCGCCACAACCTCAAGTGCTTCTTTTTGGGATACGTTTAGAGAAACACGACTGCAGATGCAAGCCACATGTCGAAAAATGGTATTATGGTAGCCAGTTTATATTCAACGACATTTTGCCCCAAAGATTATGATTATGTCCCCTACATTCTCCGGATCATCACTAATAACGATTTCAACACTGGGGTTTTGAAGACCCATTATTTCATCGCTTACGAACTGGAACAAAATGGATGGAGTGAGCATATTCACTGAGCATTTTTTGCACGGAGGCTTTTAGAGAGATTCCCGTACACACCTACACGAATATAAAAATCGGTTAATGTTCAGAAACTTCTGGGGCATTCCCTGTTGTACAAGCAAGCGTAGAAGCACTGACATATCGAAAGACTCGAATGCGCCCTTGTAGTCAAGGGACACGAAGATTCTGACTGGTTGTATACGTGGCGTTCTAACACTGGATGGAGTTTGAAGATGTAGTCAGTGCAGCCTCTACCCGGTCTAAATCCCTCTTGACGCTCACGGGTTAAGCTATCGTCTGCTGTCTTATGCCAACGAAGAATCAGTGACTCCAGACGCTTTGTCACAAATGTAGTCAGACTGATACCTCTGTGATTACTGAATTCACTGAATTTCTAAAGTGGTCAGTATTATCGACTGACCCCAGTTGTTTAGGACAGTCTATTCCTCCCAGATGGACGCAGATAGGTTGGACAAACATTTAATGAGGGATTCACCGCAGTCTCTGAACAGAGCATGTAGAAGGTCGTCCGACCAAGAACTCAGTGACGTTTGATTGAGGAGATTCACTGTGCTCGAGCTAGTTCAGTTGTTAAAGGGCGAACATGCTGATCGGAAGGTCCCTGGTTCTAACCCAGCCGTCGTATCTCGACTGTTCCTGTCTAGGTCTGGGCAACCTATCAGTATCATCCCTCGTGCTTTCTTCGGGTGGCGTGAGAGTTATGCACCAAAGCTGAACACTTTCTCTTTTGGAGGGCACATTTGATCACTTCTGACGTTGATAGGGGGTTAATATTTATGTCAAAGACCGATAGTCTTCATGGGAATTGAATTGGATTGTTATTCGAAGCATTCTGCCCAATGGTCTAAACGTTCTCATATACTGGACATCAGAGATCCATTATGGTCCGTTCTAGTTTCACCATGAACTGCAAAGCGAACCAGGTGGGACGACCTGTGGACATTTCAAACCTTTTCATTCCCATATCTTTGACATGGATGAACTAAGCTTCTGATCTTCGCGGCACTCCTTTTTTATCTGACAGTGGATGATGCTTCAGGTTGGATTGACTCAGGTTGATTGATTAAGGTTGGATTGACTGGAGGGAATCGGTCGCCCAGTCTCCAGTAAAGTGACTGTTTCGTTAGATCCAATGCACCGAAGAGGTTACCTGGGTTAGACTACAAATAGCAATGTCAACGTCAAGTGCTCCTTTGGATATCTCTATAGCGACCGAAATCGGACTAGGAGGTAGACATTGGACGAGCTGACTTTGATAAGTTCTTTTGAGTCCGTGTGCCTCTCATTGGCCAGTGGAGGTGCGCGTGTCCAACGCGAAAAACGCAGCTAAGGGCAGCAACCAACAAGTGCACGATCGGAGTCCACACAAGTATCCCAGAAGTAGTAAGGAGTAGTGGATCTCCGCCACCAACTAATCATTCACCCAGGACAAATGAACTCACGAACCATACTTCATTAATGCACAGGGAACCAAATAGACGATCCCGAGACGAACGGATAAATCAATTTGGTTGAAGTATGCACCGAATCGGCCAGGCGTAAGGACACCAGCCACTACAGAAAAGACAGGACAGCGCAACCAATCAAGCAAACATGAAAGTCAAACCACAACGCTATGCAGTCTGAGAACGAGCCAGTGGAAATAAAGGAAGCGAATTAATGGAACCAGAAGGCGTTGGGATAACCGATCTAATCAAATGGAGACAGACCACACCGCAGCGCAAATAAAAAAACTGGATCAATCAACTCACGGCAAATTTGTATTTCAACTGGCCGATCATGTCAAGAGGTAATAGATACTCTCCGAATGCTGTACAAGCGCACACAAGTATACTCAACTATACGGTGATAATGTCTCCTTGTTCGGTGGCGAAACATTTCCAGGATAACTACCAATTTCGTCAAATAGATCAACAGCCACCTGATTAACATAAACCAGTATATCTTGGTACAGGGTTTCGAACATCAATCCATTAATGGTCTATTATATCTTGCCAGTTTTCTTTAACCGGTCTGCTTTTCACCTACTACCATCCACCATCCCGCATCCCAAACAACCGTCATCCCGTGTTTCTTGTTTATTTCAGACTACCACTTACGACTACCAGATGAAACAACTAGAGGCTGACGCGCTGGTCGAGAAAATTGTGCACAAGATCCACAGTTTACCCACTCAGTGTCTGCATTCAACCGATTTAACTCCCATAAACAGAAGGCGTTCGACTTATCTTGATACCGTTTTTTCAAGTGGCCCGAAACTTATCCTCGTCGGACCTCACATATCTACAGTCAGAGGAATAGACCCATCGATTTATTTAGTGAGTAGAGGTAACACTTATACTTCTCATCTCTAACTGTGTTGGGCAGTGGTCTCTATAGCTACCATTTGAGTGTTCCCCTCATACTGTGCAGTTTGATAGAGGGTTTTTCACTCTATTCACTAAGATTCCATGTGAATCTAAGGTTTCAACACAATAAAATCCTCAAGGTTATAGGATAGCCGACCGTTCGCTTCTGATGGCATGAATCTTCCCCGCAATTCAACGAAAAATAGAAACATAACATATCTCCTTTCTTGGAGGGACTCGCTCTCGAAGAATGTCCTCTGGGGGATAGCTGTATAACCCCAACCCCTCAGTGGCTTGGTTGACGTCCATACTTTGAGTACTGATCCATTTGAGGCTCAACTGAAGTCCTGGCTATTCCTGTTTTTTTCGTGAATACTGTTGCTATCCATATGTAAGTCATGACACTCATGCTCCTGTGAGTTTTACCACAGGATGTATGCGCCCTTTCAGGAAGCGAACGGTCGTTTCTACGGAGGAACACAGTCAATCTTTTTGTTATGAACATTCTGACTTCGTGGACATTAATACCGCATTTTCGAGAGTGAGCACTACGACGAATCAACTTTACCAGAATTTTCCCATGAAAAGTAATCCGAAAGGCAGTCGTGAAATGCGTCGGTACTTAGCACCACATGCAGTACTACCACATTCCGGTCTCGTTGGAAGTTCCCTTCATTCTGAATTCTCACTGCCATGGCTTCGCCTTCTTATTTTTATCAACCCCGTTTCATTTATTTATGAACCTTTGTGCCAGACGCGCACTCCCATCAGTGAACAAAACCTTCCAGAGCTAGGAAACTGCCTAGCATTGTGGTACAAGAAGTCAAATAGACTCAGCCGTAGCACTATTTCTTTGCTTATCTGCCATGCTCCCGAAGGAAGCACGAGGACTGAGATACTGCGCCTTAACCACTGAGCCATCTCGCGTTCGTGCAAGAAGTTACATCTATAACAAAGCTCACTGTCAGGGTCTTTAGCTTGCGTTGTTTATACGCCACTCAGTGCAGCAAATTAACCTACGAAGGAAGAAAAATTCAAGGCATGGCGACATTTGGCCGCAATAAACTTGGCTTACTATCATCCTGTGAACAAGTACTAGAGTTTGTTCATTTATTCTGATACCTTCATCTTCATTTGGGAAACTGAGAAGTAGGAAGACCTCATTGTCAGACTTGAGTACGGGCCGTGAGTAACCGGATAACCCAGCTGGAAAGTACTTTACACAAACAGTACAAGTAGCTTTACAACCTATCGGCTTATAGCGAGTAACAGGACGTTGATGAATAGAGTAGACATGTTGGCTGGTATTCATCCTGAAAATACGAAGATATCCAGGCGTGTTTAAAAATGGCCTGTCTTTTAGCATCTGGGTTCGGAAAAGTGAATTAGTATGCTTCACAATTATTTGTTTTGGGTGATACATACAGGTAATTTATGATAAAACGAATTTCAACTTTGTTTATTTTCTACGTCCTCAGTTACGGTCTTTGGAATTGTCTTATAAGAGTTGTCCATCCGGGACTAACATTACTGCTCTATTGAACACGCATCAGAATGTGAATTCAACAATACGTCAAGAAGCACAAAAGTTGATGCATCAGCTGGCGTTGTCCGCGTACCATGAACGCCGTAAACAAGCTTCTGTTTGCCCTCGTTGGTTGGACTACTTAGGTCCTCTTTTGGGATTAAAATCTCAGCATGTATGTGGCTTATCAAACCATGTTTCGATGCTGGGCAATGGGGAAGATACAGCTGATTCGCCGAACTCCGAACTCCCAATCCTGTCCAAGCTTCTCAAGATGTTGCACAGCCGTCCCACGTCAGGTAAGTGTTCCATGTCCTTTTTGGTACCCACTCTCTTGAAAACACGTATCCTTTGCTTGCCAGCAACCAACGCCCCAATAAAGCTGCAAGATAGGAAGTAGTCCTTCCGTATTGAAAGTTAACTACGATACCACCTCATCACTTGACGTTAAGGTATCACTATTCATGATTGGTTGTTAGTTCAACCACAGCTATACATACACGCGTGTGATTTTACTGCGAATCCGACCATTTACGAAATCACTGTGCAAGAAAATCGTATCATTGTCAGGTTAATAGATCCGCCCCACAAGATAACATTCATGATCACTTAGAGTTGGTCTTTCTTCAAGACTTAGTCACCACAGCTTTCTCGCGTCAGCAAAGATAGGAAACGGTTCTCCCGAACCAGGGTGATAATTTTTACAGTTGTGGTTATTAATAAAGGGTGTTTGGAGTGCTCCTTACCTCTGGCAAGCCATTGGATGATAGTCAAGGCCCGTTTTCACCTTCTGGAGCGGCATGTGTGGATTTCAAGATTATTTTGATTCCCTGTTGCTTGCGAAGAACTACCAGAAATGTAATTTGAATAAGATTTGAATAAGTTTTTCGCGAGATTGAAGTAGTGTGATCGAGAGCTTTGTAACTTGGTGCTATCTGTTGGTGAATTCTCCCTTACTTTCTTCAAAAACGGAATTGACGGAAGCGTTCGAACCTCATCCATCTCTGTATCTTTTGTGATTTCTCGGGCAGAGCAACTCATCCCGAGCGGTCAATAACTAGGTAGGGTAAGTTGGTATGGAATATTGTATACAGCCCCGACTAGTTAAGTAAGCTCGTTGGGCACTCACGATTGGCCGTATTTCTATATTAAGCTGACAGCTGGACAATCCAACTCACACCCGCAGAGGCGTCGCATTTTTTCCAGGTCCGCTTGCTTTCGATCAGTCGTGTGTTCCCTAAATGCCAGCAATTGCAAAAGAATAAATAATAACACCTGCACCATTTAAACAACATATTTGTCTTTCGTGATGGCGCTTCTTAAAGGTATAGTCTGCGGGTACCCAATGTTATACGTTTTGTCTTACTGCAATCTTCGAAACGACTTTCTATCTTTCCTTGGTATAGACATGTTGGATACAATTATCACCCTTCTGCATGAACTCTCCTCAGAGAGTGACAGCCCACCTCCGATTCCTCATACTGGCATAGATGCTTCTGCCATGCTAGAGCGGCTGCACTTCGTATGCTGTAGTTGGTACCATCGTGATCATCGACTGGATGAGGATTGTGTGTCGTCTTCTTCATCGACTTGTATTTCAGATGTCACTCCTACCCTGCCTCCGGTCCTGTCAGCTGTTAATGGCTTGGCTTGTGGCCGTAATAAGACCCTTAGCTTTCATACTTTGGACTCACTGGAACAACCCGGGCTGGTCTGGTCATTGACCGGTTTCAGTGTTCAAACAGCGTCCTCCGAATCAGGAGCTGCTATCGTGGACAAGGCAGTGAGTGATCTACTGTCACTTTTATTTCTACCTGGAAAGCGTATCACCATTGTTAAAGGCTCACATATATCCATACTTCTATGAATTAGTACCGAAACCTGGGAGCTGCGTCTACTTTCTGACCTGCCTGAGTTATGGCGAAATTCGTGGATTCGTTTTAACAAGTCTGTAACCATTGGGAACTGGGAGGTTGGTTAGCGGATTGTTTGTTGTTTTTCTATCTTCCTCAACCATTTCTATAGGTTTGGCACACAGCGAGATACTTTCCACGCTGCATCCCCCCTGATCATTATATGGATGTGTGAAGCTTGGTTCCTCATCGACTCACTATCTGGAATGTCCGTGTGGAATTCATCGGTGGCTAGAAGCACGATCTATGAAAAGCAGCGTGTTTCAACCAATTCTCACTATTTCTTACTGAAAACTCTTTACTCCTCGTTCTTTGCTTCACGTTTCCCGAAAACTCCCCGACATGCGTTGGCTTAAAAGATCTTTTGTTTTTAGTGGTAGCACAAGGTTAGACTGGTCTTGGCGTGCACTAGTTACTACCCACATTCAAGATGGGTGCACATGGACCGTGCTCACACGTGAACTGATCAGTGCTAACGAACCAGGCAACTAGGTCACCTGGGTTAACCATCTCCAAAGAGTGGTTCTTTAATTTGTCGGAGTGGGAGGATGACGCGTTAAAGTAGACTTCTAATACGGAAAGTACTAGTTTGGCCAATTTCAGTGAGCAGGACTCCTTCAAATGCGGACGTACTGCTCTTCACTATGCACCAAGAAGTGTTTGACGGAAAAGTTTGAACACGATTCACTGAGTTCCAAGTCTGAGTATGTAGTGTCCCACCTAACTACCTCATGTAAATTTGCGGTGTGTGACCGAGGCCATGGTGACCTTTACAACACAACCCCTTCGCAGATGTGGATAGTCTAGCCGCACACTCAGTTGAGTGCCGTTTTTTTCATCGCGGATAGCACTGTTCTAGTTACATGGAGAAATCCTCGGTACAACGAGTGATTTGGCTGCTTCACTGTAACACTTTGAGCCTTCAGAAAAATGTTTCCTTTTGGTTACTGAAGGACCATGTCACTGCTTTTGAAAACATGGGATATCCAATGTGAAATCAAGCCGGACTTTAATCCGCTTTCCGATACGTAAGGAAGGTGCTGTTATTCACATCACCCAATTGTACACGGATTTTTATGGCTGTTGGGCTTGCACTGCGATCAAACAACTAACCGGACCGCTTCACCGAAGAACACCTCACTACGGGTTTTAAACGGAATCCTCAATTTCAGTACTGAAAAAGCACCTTTTTATCGTTAATCTACATAAGCGACACTAAAAGTATCGTTCATATGGCGTGATAATTTTCTGCGACCATTCCACTGGTGCCAGTTGAAAACCCAACCTCGGTTTTATCCACAAGTTGGTGGATGGACTACTTCGCCTACGGTTTTGATGATATATGCTCGTTTGAACTGTTCGGGGGCTTGAAACGCGAGTAAAGAACACGTGTCCAGAAAACTCCGCACCATATCAGCTAACCCTTACCCAAATCTGATCATGGGTCACTGGAACTTTTATTGACGCATAGCACAGCTAGACTAAGTCAATTGTTCCAGATGTTTCGGCCAAACAAATATTCATTGGCTGGACCCTAACTAGAGCTGCCACTTTGTCATAGTGCTCGGGATTCTGTGCTACAATGAGCATGCGGATTATGCCGGCTGGAACTCAGTTCCGAAAGGTTCAACCATGTCCAACCAGGAGGGCCAAAGGGAAGCAGTCCGACAAAGAACAGCAGTCCTCGTACTGCGAGAAATCGAATTATGAGGCGATCTGGTGGTAAAGTCGTACTGTCCTCTGCGATAGGAGTGTGAAGGCAGTAAGGCCTTTCCTCCAGGCGACCAGCATATAATATCTATGGAAGCAGTAATGCTGCCTTACCCCGAGGAATAACGGGTTTGAAAAGGTCCGCCCTAAATACCGCACACTCCGATCGCCCAACCGTTAACCGCGACCGTCGGTGACGTATTCACTACGGTCGAAATACTTTTAAAACCAGAGTCCGGTGCTGCCCAAAAGCCACCTGCTGTGCACAGCTGCACTGCGACTAAGTCAGTAACGCCTTCCTCCCTGCGTCCTCTGGCCCCATGCAACCAAGCGGGTCAGATTATTGAGTCATCGGCTCTGAGCAGGGTCCCACAAGATAACCTTAACTGCTTCCTCGCGGTGCGGACTTCAGTCAGTCTAGGGGACTGGTCCCCGAAACAAATCCCACTGGCTTTTGGACCAGGCCTTTGACTCAAATGCTCAATGTGGGGTACCTGAACCAAACCCCCTTCTTCGACTCGGGCAACCGGTTATCAATTCACTTTCCGTCAGCAGTACTTGTGCGGAAGCACTATAGTTGTATTCGTCAACTTCGAGAAGTTTCACCTCAGGCGTATCGAGCTCACATACCTAGAAAGCTACCGAAAACGCACAGTTATGCTGATGACGAAGATTGCATGGAGATGGAACAGAAGCCAGTGAAAGAAACTATCCTCTGCCGTCAGAAGGGCCTGCGGGTTACCCTGAAACTGCTTCGGTTTACTTGATGCGCCACGTCTTAGCGTAGCTGCAATAAGCCTCATACCGTTTTGCACGTTTTCGGCGGAATAGAGTATTCTGAATGAATTCCACTCACTGCTTTGCTCGAGCGTTCCTTGCGCCAAATGTCTCCTCTGGTCCTGCAGATATTGTTGTAACGGATTCCTATTGTAATGAGGACCGTGTATATCCTGGTTCCTATGACGGACTTGATATAATTCTGCATGTCTATTTTTACATGAAGCATTCGGTGAGTGCCACCAGCCGGCACTCATCTACAGTCCACGAGTGCCACCGGCACTCATCTACAGTCCACAGGTGAAGTAGAACCCTGGACGGTGAACGTGAAACCACCTACGGCCTCGGAGGTTTACGAACGACTATGTTCTCTCAAGCGCCACCGAGCTCCCGTTCCGGATGACCTTCCACCCGCACTGTTTAAAGACGGGGGTGAAGTCCTCAGTCAGCGCATGTCCGATCTGTTTGCTTGCATTTGGGAAAAGGAGTCTGTCCCAGACAACTGGGGAGAATCAGTGATAGTGCCCATTTTCAAAAAAGGGGCGCGTAGTGAGTGTGATAACCACAGGGGGATCAGCTTGACCCCTGTTGTAACGAGACTGTTGGCGTCAATTGTGCTTCGTCGCCTTACGGTGGCTCGTGAGATACTGACTCGAGAGCAGCAAGCGGGATTCCGGCCTGGTAGGGGTTGTGTTGACCAAATCTTCACACTGCGTCTTGTGCTAGAACAACGCCATACGTATAAGCGACCCACGATTCTTGTATTCTTGGATTTCCGAGGCGCATTTGACTCGGTTGACCGGTCTGTTTTTCTTGAGACGCTTGCCCACCAAGGAATGCCCCAGAAGTTTGTAAACATCATGCGTTCTTTGTATTCTCAGACTTCCGGACGTGTGAGAGTGTGCGGAGAGCTCTCCAAAAGCTTCCGTACACAAAGCAATGTCCGCCAGGGATGCCCACTCTCTCCATTCCTTTTTAACTTTGTAATCGGTGAAATAATGAGACGAACGCTGGAGGGTCTCCAAAACCCTGGTGTTCAAATAGCCAGTGAAGAAAACCTTGTCGATCTGGAATATGCAGACGACATCGTTCTCATGTTCGAAGAGGAGGAGAAGGCGCAAGTATTCTTGGATGAACTGACCAAAGTCATCCCGTCCTTTGGTATGCATTTTGCACCCACAAAGTGTAAGGTCATGCTTGTGGACGTGCAGTCACTGAACACGCCCCTTACAATCCAGGGAGAGGTACTGGAAGTTGTGGAGCGTTTTACGTACCTTGGAAGTTGTATTAGTTCTGATTGCAGTGTGACAGATGAGGTGAATGCACGAATCTGCAAGGCTCGGGCCGCGTTTGCTAACTTGAGACACCTATGGCGTCAGAATGGTTTATCCCTGAATCTGAAGGGACGTGTGTATCAAGCTACTGTACGGGCTGTTTTGTTGTATGGCTGTGAGACTTGGCCTACTCGAGCAGCGGACCTGAGACGTCTTCAGGTGTTCGACAATCGTTGTCTCAGAACCATAGCTCGCGTGGGTTGGTGTCGGCGAATCCGTAACGAGGCAGTTAGAAAGCGTGTTTTCGATTGTGTAACGGGTACTTCCATTGTAGCATGTTTCCAGCACCAGAAGCTGCGTTGGTTGGGACATGTGTTACGTTTGCCGAAGAGAGTGCTGTTTTCCATGCCCAACTCAGAGTGACGTAAACAGAGAGGTGGCCGACCCTTGACTTGGCAGAGGAGTATGAAGGAGATCACGAAACGCTTGGGTGCTGTCGGTGCTACTCGCCTTCCAGGATTGGGACCGCATGATCCTCACTGTGCCTGGTTGGAGACACTACAAGATATGGCTGCCAACCGATGTCAATGGCGTTCTTGTTTTCAGTTTCTGTCCAGATTGCCTGAGTGAATATCTGGAGGTGTAGGCACCTCGGAATGATTGTGTTAAGCTAGCACTAAGTCCTTCCCCCATCCACCTTCATTCTTTTCTTTGCAATAAGGCTTTCGAATAGGTCATGGTTGTACGGCAGTGAAGCATCGGTGTTGAACACTGATGTCATGCTGTCGATGATGATGATGATGACATGAAGCATACCTGTACTCTCCAGTCCTAATAGGGTACTACATGTGGTATGCTTGAGTTTTGACATTTGCATTCCCGTCGATTGTTTTGGAATGACCATCTGCAGGTGTTCCACATCTATGTGAAATGGACTCTTATTTCCTCTTGTTCCCACGCCTTTCGATCATGCTTGGCTGAAGCAGTGGACGTTGTGTATTTTGCTACTTAAGAACACCATGGTATGTCTGTTGGACTTCTCAAATGACTTTTGGATGGTGCCGTGGCCACCTATCTTCCCGAGGCTAGCCACACTACTTTCATTGTATATTGGGCCCATTTTGCTTTACTGGACATTTCCCTGCATTTTTTGCCACTAGTGCCACTCGGTCGCTTAGGTGGGACTATTGGATCGTTCAATGCAACTGTAGCGGAATTGTCCATCCGTGGTCGACGAAATTTATGAAACGTGCAACCGTTCGCTTTTTCTGTGTAACATGTTGAGCTATACGGTATAGATGCCCACGGTCTCTCGCCATTTTGGTTAGTGGCGATTTAGGATTGAAACGCGTGATGATCTGTCCGTTCCAAACTTTGAATGTCGCCGCACTGTGCATACACACACCGCTGCGTTGTATTTCGACTTCCAAGCTAATTATCAACGGACCCGAATCGTTCTACTAGTCTCGTTTGTGTACTTTGTTTATGTTCTGACCTTCACACACACAGTCATGGAGAAGCGAGCTATGGGGGTCTATCATCTGTATTGTTATTAATGTAAATAAAGTTCAATGCTGGATTTCCGTAGTGGTTCGCTTACTCAGTCGTCCGAATAGATGCCACTCCCGCCCGACCCACATCATTCTGATTTACGCCACTACTTAACTGGAACAAATCCCATTATTCAGGTGGCCAATTAACAAAGCATGCGTTGAAGGAAGGATCAGCGAACAAAACTTGTTGACTTTATGCCGACATTGCAGTGTGCTCCTTCTGATTTTGCAACGCGGCCCCCTGACGTCACAGGCCGTCCTTAGTCCTCATAAGAGAGACAAACCGACCTTCCTAGTACTAAACACAGCTTGAGTGAGGCTCGGTTCGCTGCTGTTCATTCTTCTGTGAACATAATGAGAAGTATAAAAGCTGACGGAGGAGGATCCAGTTCAGGTTTTTCAAATGATAGTTCACGATCTAATTCACTGAGCTACCCTGATCAGTTGCCCAATCATGTCGCATTGTTTAAAATGCTCTTCACACCTGAAAATTGTTGGGTGCGACTGCAAGGCAGGGCATCAAGCGTGAACTTTGCAAAATAGTCTATCGGTGTGATGGAGTGAATTTTTCCACCCTAATGGTTGTATGAGTTGCGGCGGTCTATCTGCGAATGAAATTGCCACTCGGATAGAAGGAGCCCAATTGTAGATGAGACGGCTGCTTACCAGATGAAGGGTGGTTGCTGCTTCTTATAGCTAACCCTATAAAAACCCTTTTCGATGAATGCAGATAACCAACACGCACCGCGAAATTTTTCCCACACTGCTGAAACTTCAAAAATTAAAATGAACGCCTGTAAGGCAAATATAAATAGGGTTATTGTCACAACCAGGATGGTTCGCCCCATCCCTTAAGCTTTTACTTGAAACCTCAGGTTTTTGCGTAATTGCTGTGCAGTCAATTGCAATTGTTCTTCACTTACTTCCGTTTTCCTACCTACTGCATACACTACACTACATTCTATCTCCATCGGCTGAGCAACTAGAGCATAACCATTCTGAAGACAACATTTCTTAAATTTTCTGTCACTCGGTTCACGTCAGCGAGACAGTGGTTATTGTTTCAGGGAGACCGTCTGAGCTGTTAATCAGCTAACCGACCAGTGACCATGAAGTTGCAAGCTGTAGTTCGGGTACCGCTCCCAGTCACTATACGGTAGTCAAAAATTGTGATTAAAGATTTGGGACGTCGAAAATAGGAACTTCGAAAACATGGCTACTGGGTACTTAAGGGGACTCAGAACGTACGTTGAACCTTGCGTTGGCACCTTCGGCGAACGTGGGACATGTAACAAACACTAACAAGAGACACTGCTGTCTTCCTTATCAACCTTAGCATCACACATTTTCAGATCTTTTTTCGTTCAGTAGTAGTGAGCGCATCTGTTTTTGGAGGCTAGGCACCCCTGGATATTGTTTGCCGATCTGACACCGAATTGTGGAAGTGTTAGTGATGATGTATTGGGATGAATAGCTTCATATTTGCTTGTGTTTCGAACCGCTCCAGTCAGATGTTAGTTTTTCTGACCAACTACACAGTGTTGTCACGGAACAAGCGTTTGCTTACTAACAGCCAACGGAAGACTAAAACAGATTTCCGTCAAGTGAGCTTCACTGCATTGATGCAGTTCGGCACATCTTTGTGGTGTTCGGTCGAACACGGCGAACACCACAAGCATCTGAATTCAGTCGAACTTGAAACATTGAACTCTATGAGTGTATGTTCTAGTCAGATACTGAACGGGGAGTTTAGTTTAGCCTTTCAGGTAGTTGAGTTAGTTATTTCTTGTTCCTTATATGGCCCAATAACGCGCTTTTTCTTGTCTGCAGGCTGAAGCGGTCTATCGATTGGAAGAACCAGTCAGCTACGAATCACTTAGTAAGTTAGCAGCTTTGACATCTCCTTTTCCACCTGCTTATAACTGGGAGAAGTGACCGCCGACCTATCCAAACGAAACATTTGAACTTCATCTATTAGGAGTCCATATACGAGCTGACAGAAGGATGTATATTTACAAACGGTGGAAGCATCCTCACATAAACATAGTGTAGGATTAAGAAAAACTGAGTGTTCAGTGTTTTGTGTCAACCTTGTTTGCTGTTTCAGAATGATGAGACTCAGTCAGAGCTTACTTTCTTTCAGGTTCAACCTGGTCTTTATCGCTGACAGACAGCGTGAGTGTATCTTGTGTCACGTTACCAGGCCCTTCTGAAACGCCCTACCCCCTATTACCTGTTTGCATCCACAGTTCAGTTTTATTTTTCGGTGGACAATTTTTAATGGGAGGCTCTCTCAATCACATGTCTTGCATTTGATTTAATTCAACGGTAGTGGACTCTCAAAGAGTGTGTGTGTTGTGTCATAAGAGTATGCTGCACCAACCGAGACGCGTACAGCACGTTCGGTTGAAGGATACCTTTGACCTGCGGCCATATTGCCCCCTATATTTCGGGAAGCCAGACGAAGTCGCGAAAGGTGGCTTCAGTTAGCCAGTCTAAAGTGACACATTATTTATCCTTCGCTGAACGTAGCCGAAAGGTCGGCTTTTCTCTACCGGTCCTATTTGGGTGGAATTCCCTTGTACTGATGGCCTTGGTACCTTTGTGGTTATATGTATATCAGCACTAAGCGTATGTTCACCACAAAGAAACATATTCTGAAAATGCGATCCTGGTTAACTTAGTGTTGCATGTTTCCTTTTTTCTGCTCAGGCCGATTCATCTCCGACTATCATTCCTCCAAACTGTTGCCTTGGCATAGACACCCTTTGCCCTCCGACCAGCTCCATCAGCTACATCCAACCGAATCATTTGGCCGTCGTATTTTAGAGATTCGTGACGCTTCGCATCTCGAACTTCTGCTGGACTCCCGATCGTACATACATTCTGGAGCTTCTCGGCAAACTACGCTGAAAACACAAAGTGCTTTGTTACTTCTCTACTATACTCGGAATTGCGCCTACGCCTCACATGGTGATAGTCTACTCTGGCATTTCACCCGTGTTGCTGAGTCATTTCCAGACAATAGTACTGTTTTATTTTCCAAGTGAGTTCCGTTGGGTTCGATTTAGCTTCACTCAGGATTCACTTTGCTCACTTATCATCATCATCGCCAACATTAATAGACCAGCACTAATCCAGTCGTCAGGGAGAATATTTCGTAAAGGGTGAAAAGAAAGGTGAATGCCAGCAAGTCATCAAAAACAGCCCCATCCTCCCATGGATACCACCAAGAACGGTGTACCCTATACCTTGGAACAGCGATAAGTTGAACGTATCTGAGCGTCAAATTGAAGATGCCATCAGTTGATGTAGCCTAACGTCTTTTGTTCACCCCACTAGGTTTGAGTTTACCGTAGAACGGTAGACAAACTATCTACACAGTCTGACTAGGAATAAACAGCATGCCCGCTGGTGGAACTGGTTACGTACCACGTCCTGTAGGATTTCTAAACACGTGCAAATGAATCACATGAAACTAAACCAGTGGGACGCTTAAATCTCATAGCACTCGTTTGACGGCAGTCGCCTTTATTCCGCGTTCCCAGCAGACCCGTTGTTGCGTTGGGAGCTGAACTCAATGTTTCTTTGTTTGGATGGCGGTAGTTGGGTATGCGAATTACATGTCCAACCACTTCAGCTTGATTGTGCTTCTGATTCATCACCAACTGGTCGCTTACACACCACTACACCCATTAATAAATAGCGATTGCTTCAATTGCGGATTTTGAAACCCCAGTCGGCACCACGCGTCAGTACGCATCGTAGAACGCGCATATCAGCTGCACAATGATGACGCTATCCTTTAACGGAAATAAGCACCAATTACCGAGAACGTGGTGTCATCGTGATTATCATCTTTGATATGGGTACACCGGTAGCAGCAGATGCGTTATCAAATAGTCTGGTGAGTGGGTGAAAAAACGCCTTGTGACTCCATGAAGTTGTCGGAAATGAGTGGCCTTCATCCTCCAGCAGCACTAAAGTGAACGTATCTGAGAATCACATAACTCATTTCAAGTCCACGGAATAGTTCACACAGCACGTGCTTCAGTCAATGAGAGCTCGGTCGCCAGTTACCTATAGTAGAGTGCCTATATTTCAGTCTTGCTTTAGCTCAACAGTTGGGGGCGCACAACTGCTGACTGGAAAATCCGTGGTTTGAATCCAACCCTGGCTTTCGTATTCCTCCCATCCAGGCTCAGGCGACCTAGCGGTGCCTCGGCCCCATGCTTCCTTCGGATTGCACGACAGCTATACACCAAGAGTACTACAATCAAAGGATATTTCGAATAAGACCAGAAAAGAATAAATTGAAATGTTCACGGACAACCGACTACACAAATTTGCCGTTTCACTCGGGCAATGAAACTACGAAAATCGATAGCTTCTTTTGGACTACAAGAAACATAAATGAGCTATGTTGAACACCTGGCTACTGTTTCACCAAAACTTCTATTATTGGAGGGATGAAATGTACTTTTCTGCGCGTAGAACTATTGGAAGATACTTCCCGTGTCTCATGATCTATGGAATCCAAGCGTATAGCCCAGTGGTATTCTCGAACCACCAACCTTCTGCTTTCCAGACGGGCTCTGTACCAGCTTGGCTACCGCCTACTTTCTGACCATTTGCCATTCAGCTGAAGAAGTCTTGCCGCAGGCCGATGGTAGCACATTGTCTGAGACGGTATATGTGGCAACATCACCAGGGCACCATCTGTACTACTCTCTGTTTCGATGACTCCAGCTCCGGTGCGGTTACTCGACCTAAATTGTAGTTCCTCCCAGTGGTCGTTACCTCTTATTGGACGACTGTAATGTGGATGTTTGCTAAGTCGTATGAGGGATGGAATAGGTAGTAGACAACCCCTGTTGTGTTGTATTTTAGTTCATTTCATCGTATATTGTGTATTTCATTTAAGGAACCGCAACTGTCCCTCTTTAATGCCTTGGACATTCTGGTGTGTTATACTTATGATGGTGCCAGAAGTGATTCTCTGTAACCACTTTTTTAAGGACCAAGATGATTGTTAGTCGTCATTCGCTTGCCATATATGTGAGCTACGAATACATCCTACGATTGGTGTAGCCCACTGGGTTACCTTCCACATACATTGTGTTCTGATCTGAGTTGACAGTAGTGGACCATCATTTGCTTTAGTTGCTCACCCTACGACCTTCCATCGGGTTTACGCAGAGTAAATGGCACAAAATGGCCCAATGGTTGGAGCGCGAATTTACTGACTGGAAGGTCCTTGGTTCGAACCCAACCTCTGCATCTTGAGTTCCCCTGTCTAGCCTTGAACAAACTGGCAGTATCCCAGTCCTCGTGCTTTCGGCAGCTGGGTGTCGAAAGGGTATTACAGCTGAACGATTCATGTTGTTTATTTTACATGGCGTTCAGGTGATTTCACACAGTGCATAATCCGATGTGAGAGACAAATCCGGAAACCGATTCCAGTCCACTATGGGAGACGGATGACTCCTGTTACACGAATGAGTACCGACCTTGGATTACTGCCTGTAGTCCCTAAGTTTCGTGTTTCCCCGGTTGCATATTCAGTATTTAGCACTTCCAAACAATGGTGTTCAAGTAAACTGAACTTGATCGCTCATAAGGCAGTTGGAACTGCCGACTAAATATCCGGTTAGGCAAGAAGCTTGTTTTTCTAGGGGGCAATTTCAATGGCAAGGCATGGTAAATCATTTTGCAATGTGGAATCTCGGTTGATTGGAGTGTTATTGGAGGAAAGTAGTACCACAGGACCTTCCCTTAACAAATAACGATTCTGCTGCAGTCAAGCGTCGCCTCTAAACACTGGCGTTTCCATCGATGGGGAAATACTGTCTGTGCAGTTGGTCTAACTAGTACATCCATTGGATAAATCCAAGGATCATGGTCGCGTTGGCCTGAAAGTCGATTCTTTTACCTACGACTGCGGCAAAATTTCTCATGCTACATTGCAATCGTTAATCTACGTGGTGTCTGGTGCAATGGACACGCCAACACGTTTCCATTGATTTGCATTATTTCGTCGCTTGTTTACATGGGAAGCACAAAGTAAAGTTGCAATTTTGGAGTTTTGCTGGGTAGGTATTTTGTTCGTAGTCACACCACTCTCGTTTGAACGGCCGTCCTCCTGTGCTGGCGTAATTATTCCAAAGGGAAGCAGTGGACTCGAGTTTCGCTGTTATTAGAGCTCATCAGCAGTGCATATCCAAAGGCCGTGCCGTAATTTGAACCCGGACATCTGACATGCGAGGCGAGCGTGTAAATCCCGGCAAGGCCATTGGATATGCACGGCTGGTGAGCTCTAATAAGAGCGAAACTCGAGTCCAGTGCTTCCCTTTGGTGTGAGCTCACCGAAATAATTACCCCAGCACAGGAGGACGGGCGTTCAAACGATAGTGGTGTGACTACGAACAAAGTAAAGTGTACCATTGGTCAGTGTTATTTACCTTAGACGATACTGTTCCACCCTGTCTTGTGAGCTGAGATGATTCATATGTTATCCCGCACTCCGGCGGATCAATCGTGGTGTTTTCAAACACCAATCTAGTGTATATCAGGTGATCCGAGCTGCATTAGTTGCTCACCGGTATGGAATCAGCTCTGGTAATTGGAACAATATACCTGTTCTCCATAAGTTTACCAATCCGGCTTGGTCAGCCATCTAAGTCAAGCTAAATGGATGCCTCTGGATGCTAAGGGAATGTTGCGCACACTAGAGAATCTCGAATTCATCTAGAATTTCGATATACTTGTTTCCCATTTGTGTGCAACAATGTCATAAGTGGCTGTTCGCTCTGTTCCTCCTAGTTGCCATGTTGAGTGAGCCAGATGCTTCTTTAAACGATGGACTGTTGAGTGGACTATTTGTTAAACCCCACCCACGGAACACTTGGCGGTTAAGCTTTTCATGGTGATGCTGGTAGTCTGCATAATAGTATAGCCTCTGATCACCTTCTACAATGAACTCTGTATGACCTGATTGATTGTATCCTAATGTTCACGCACTCCTTAAGGTCTATAAACCGAAAGAAGAGCGAACAGGGGATGCCAACGTCGACGCAGTTCAAAAGCCGCTGCCGTGAACTACTTGGGCTACCAGCTAAGGAATAACTCACACACGTATACCTGATTCTTGCCTGTCAGACAAGTTCGACTGGCAATTTCAAATGCCCTGTGGATATCTGATACTGTGGTACTATTATGAAGACTATTGTTTGCTTACACCAGCAGGAAATGTTACCATGGATGTACAACGAATATTCAGTTGCAAACAGAGTTCGACGAATAGATCAGCCACTTGATCAACTACTAGAACCCTTTATGTTTTAGAGGTTGCTTTGTATTAGGCTTTTCTGTTTTCACAGTAGGAGACTGCGCCACCTCCCCTCATCTAACCATGTTGTAGCATGCACACTTCCTTAGTTTTTTTCTAATTACAAACCTACCTACTTTGCTTCTCACTCCATTCCACCATTGCCCACGTTCGCTTTTCAACCTGCTTCTTCATTGTTTGCAGGGTAGATGTGTCGGAAGTTGACCTCCCATGGCATCTCCGTGTGGAACGCGTCCCTACAGTGATTTTCTTCCCGGCAAATCGGTATGCTTCGATGCGTATATGCGTCATTTTCTGGCAAAATGCTACCACCAACAAGCTGTCCTCTCTTGTTTGTACTGAAGAATACAGGTCGTCTCAAAACAAGAGATTGGGATGTATGTAGAATATAATTGACATAATCACCACTTAAAATCGAAGTTGATAGATTCAAATACCACAAGATAACAAAGTTTGCGTTCATGTCCTCATTAATTCCGATTATTAGGCTCGTCCAACTAGAGTTTTCGTGTAGTCTTATCTAGTTTAAACCAAAGGACTACTTTAAGGCTGCAAATTCAGAAATTACTACTCGAGTCAGTGGGTCAAATCAGTGAAAGGAAGAAGTCCTTCGCTGCGGAGTTATTAGAGGCTACAGAATACTGGACAAGGGAGCAGAATTCTCGTATGCATCTTGTTTACAATACTGAACATTCATTTTCTCCTTGAACGCGTCTTCCTGAACTTTCCTGGATATTCATTGACTGCTACTCAAATGCAAGCAAATGCTTTAAAGTGACTCCACAAATTCCGTAGTAGATCTCACTTTTCTAAAGACGTGAAGTGGATTTACGAGAGAACGTGCTACTCGTATGCTATCAGTAGTATCCACCTTCACACCAGTATATCACAGCACTTGAGGATAGCATCCAACCACCCAACAAAGGTTGGTGAACATCTATAAACCAAAAAACCTGGGAAAGTTGGTAAAAAAAACTGCCCTAGTGCAATACTGTGCACTGAGGCTCTCACCCTTTTGAACGCAAATTCATCTTCATAAATATGCTGTTCTAATGCTTGACTGAGTCACTGATCTCTCTGTCTTCCAGTTCGACTACACTACGATGCCCACGGTTCATACACTTACACACTGTTGGAGTATTCGGTCCAACAGATTAGTGAGTACTTTGAGCACAAACTGGTGGAGCATTGGCTACAAGGGTAACCGATGTGGCACATTTCTAGCACGTAACTGTCTTTGGAAATATCGAGCGTAGACCAGTGATTGCACAGGTATGAGTGCCATGAACTCACGTCAGTGGTAGACCTGGCCATGGTTTCTAGGCCTACGACCTTGGGCTTTAACGTGTCCCAGGTTGTTCGTTTGCTTTCCCCTAAGCAGTTCCCCAGTCCTCTGTAGTCAGCGCGTTCCTCAAAAATGTCACCACCTTGCCTCTCTGATACTTCTCTTTGATGCATTTCTAATGGGCAGTCCATTTTGGTGTAATTATGCTTTGAAGATCTAACTTGCCCTGGAAGTCGTGCAAGAGATCACCGATAACCTTCAGCTCCCCAATGAATCCGTAGGCACGTGTGTGATACGATGCCAGAGTCCTTGGTGGTCTGGCTGGTGAATTCGATTGATCCAGTAAATATCAAGCCGTGGGCCAGTATGCTTGTTGAAAAAATGTGGCATGTTTCAAACGATAGGAGATTCATTCGAATTATTTCATATCTTTGGTCCTTTTGGCGTTTTTCCACCAACGAACCGCGCCATTCAAAGCAGCGGAGTCGTTTGGATAAGACGTAATCAACCTGCCACTGATGCATTTTTGCACCACAGGCCAACCGAAATGTGCTAACTAGTCAATTTTCGTTTACCTATCAATCACTTTTTAATTTAGTCTAAGAAATGTACCTGCAGTCGGGTGTGGTGCGTAAGCAGCCCCTTGTAGCCATAGTTGCTGTGATTTGCCCGTTTTTTCGTTAAGAGACTGAGTTCAATATTCAGAAAGGCCTTCTCCTAATAGCCTTCCACTTCGGCCAAGACGCAATCATCAGAAAAATATCCCTTACCGCCAAAACAACATGACCCTGCTGCCTATTCGAATGCACCTATCGTGCCTTGAAACCGAACTGTGCTGTTTGATCAACAGTAGATAAATATGATCCACAAATCCACGAAAAAATTTCCACGCTGCCAAGCAAATTATCGCATAAATTCTACCTCCAGCCTTGATAATCTGTTCGCCGTGTGGCCATATAATTCCATTTACTGACAAATTCTGCTCCCTCGCTTTATGCATGAAGTTTTAATTTGACGTGAAATTTTCCACCGCCTTTTTAACAATTTAATCGTAACGCTCAACCACTTCCATCCACTACCAGGTCCACCTATTCCACTCGGTTCTATTGGCCCATCACACGGATTACTGACCCGTCCATGGAGCTTGTTAAGTTCGTTCGAAAACAGCTTGGAAAGCCACCGTTTTCCGAACACATTTCGCCGATTCTATTGGAATCAGCCGAAGGAAGAACACAGTTGTTGGAAGCTTTACATAGGTCCGACAGCATTCTCCTCGCGCCACTTCACGGCCATTGTATTGCTCGATCGACTTCATTCAGAAAATTCACCTGTCTCAAGGGGATTTTGGCGTCTATCACAATTTATATTCGCAAATATGTTCATTCTCTTAGCGTGTACTTCGCCATAGTTGGTCATCTGGAAGGAAACTTGCAGCGTATCAACGATAGACTAACTTGTCCCTTCACGCGCCTCTATTGGTCTGCTCGTAGTCCTTGGAATTTGCGTCGTTCATTGGATGCGCTTCTGAAACAGTCAAAGTTGTGGAATAATGCGACGGCGCATATCAGAAATCTTTCCAACACATTACAACAGTTAGTCTCTCAGGCCAAATCCATCAAGTTACTTTTGTGATTTTCTCGAAGCACAATCCACACCCCTCGCTGACCATTGTCCGGGTCAGTGTCTACTTGGGATCCTTGTTTATTTGCTGTGAGATGCTTTTTTTCTCCTATTTTCAGCACCGTTTACAGTTTTTACTTCTTTTGGGCATGGATATTCAGCAATAGAATTTTGGAACCGTTTTTCTCTTCGGCTTCTATGGTTTTCAACTGCACGTTACTGTAATACCAGAGGAAATGGAGCAACATGGGACTGCTCATAACTTTGCTGTTTGACGGTGTCATGCAGGAATTTAATGGGCTTCACAACTTTGTAGCACAGTGTAATCTCCGAAAGTTGTAATGACCCCTAAGATTTGTGGATCAGGATCGATTTAGAGAGGCCGTCTGAAATGACCGATCAAAAGAGGCCTTTTCGTCAGTGGTTCGCACTGTTTCCACTGCTATTTTATATCCTTCAGTGCGAAACCCGAGTTACGTCAGACGCATGTGACTCCCAGATGCTGTTTTCCAATACCGTGGCTTCAAAACGGTCCGCCAAGCCGATGCGGTTCTACACAAAAACACTATATGCCATGAAGCGTGAACTACACAGCCTGCTCTTGCAACGGCGTACACCGAACTTGGAACCACTGCACGTTCTTCCATTCACACTGGTGTGCGCGTGCGTTCCGTCAACTGGATTGACGGTATTTCTTGTAGGTACTAAAGGCAAACTATCTCAATTACATGAACACAAGTGTACAGGAAGTCGTGATTCATGGTACGATATCCTGATACACTGCACTTTTGGCATCTAGGCTTAGGTGTAGGATTCCATTGATGCGTTTTACCAAACAATTGAGTGATGTGCTGGTTCCTGCAGTTCCTACGCTTGATCCAATAAATGGTGTTCGATATCGTGTTATGATTAGCTGTATCATGGAATCTCGTGACCATTTACCCAGATACCTGATGACCCATGTTTTGTAATAATAAATCGTTCAGTTTTAGCGTTCTTCCGGAGCCTAGCTGTCATGCCACCAGAAGGGAGTACGAGGGCTGAGATATTGCCAGGTTGCCCTAGACAGGGAAGTTGAGGGACCGAGGTCGTTTTCGAAACATGGACCTTCCGGACTTGAGCCATCTTGCCCCATTTGCGCCTCATTTGCATCTGCTCTGGAATGGAGCCCCGATGAACAAGGCGTTATTCTAGCATCTGACAGTCTGTAGAGATATGGTCAACGCAATACCAACCCTCCTTACTCCCCTCGAGACTACCGCACGCAGCCACCAGAAGTACGAGGGCTGAGATATTGCCAGGTTGCCCTAGACAGGGAAGTTGAGGGACCGAGGTCGTTTTCGAAACATGGACCTTCCGGACTTGAGCCATCTTGCCCCATTTGCGCCTCATTTGCATCTGCTCTGGAATGGAGCCCCGATGAACAAGGCGTTATTCTAGCATCTGACAGTCTGTAGAGATATGGTCAACGCAATACCAACCCTCCTTACTCCCCTCGAGACTACCGCACGCACTACCAACTCCTTTTCTGAAAATTAGCGCTGCAACTGATTCACTCAAATAGCCTGGCACGGTTTCTGTTTTCCAAACGCAGATAAACTGATTGAATAAACGTTAAATGATTACTTCGTCCCCCTTATTGAATAGTGCATGTATGAGGTCATCCAGACCAAGTGTTCCTAGGCGCTCGAGAGAGTACATACAGTCATAAACTCCAACAGCGATATCAAACTCAGTGTAAACCATGTTTCTGGGCAAAACTTGTCATTTATCTCTTGCTCGTGCTCTCTGCAAATTTGGCCATCTGCTCCACCGCCCAAGGTCAGCCACGGCTAGGGATGGCTTTTCAGTTGTAGGTCACGTCAACCGGTGTCATCATTGCATATCCCCTCCATCGCTCTATCTTTCCCGTTTTCCAAAATCCACACTTATTCATCACATGATAAACATGGTCCACAGGGTTGCCTCCCCGTTGTGTTTTTACGCGCCACGTTCAAATTGCAACGACTCGATCATGCCTCATTGCCAGCGGCTAGACGCACAATGTATTTTTCTGCAAAACGCCTGCGGACGAAATAAAAACTTTAACGTCAAAATGTTGCACTTCTTTGCATATATGCGTATGCTGAAAACCCCCTCATCTGCCGTTATTTTTTTGCGATTTGTTTTAATCGATGACATTTGAAAATTATTGGCGCACATTCGGCTTTGAACTTCGTCTGCTATGGCTTCGGAAGTGGCTTTCGTTGAGAAATTTTTGGGTGTATCGTTTTCATCCTTCACGGCATTTGAGAAGACCTTAAATCAATACATGAAGGATAACTTTGTGATATTTGTGCGTTCATCCAGTAATCGAAGCACCAACACTATTTTGCGTTACGAATGGGTGTACTACAAATGCAGCAGGCGCCCTCCAAGAAAAACGGAAAGCCGTGGAATCCGAAGAAGCTAGTAAGCCGAGCGTAATTTCTAATAAAAAAATACGCGAAGCACCAGCTGCCCAGTGCGAATAGCCAGCGGCTGCCTCATTTGGGCGCTCAGTATTCGTACAATGAAACTGGATTTTTGAAAGCTATTATGTGTCCCTAGTACGCCAAATCAAACAAGAAATTGAGTTCAAAGTACCAGTCCAAACTTTTGAGCCCAATTTAAGCGTCCCGAGGTCTCAGTAGTGCTGGGAAATTATTCCACCATACTTTTCTGCCAGATGTATAGTTGCCTCGGCCGACAACGATATTTGGTTAGCTGCAAAAATATGAAAGTATATTGGAATGGCTTTTGATTTGAGCACATGAGCAACACATTGCAACATTATCACGCAAAAAGTTTTATTCCACTCGTAAAAGTTGCAGCTAAAATCATTGCGCGGCTAATGGTAGTGGCTTTTCAGTTGCCGCGTCCGGGACGCACCAGAAGTTTCTCTGAAACCGTGGTTCGGGAAGAGGTAGTTTAACCAGTAAGTTTTAGCATTTGATGGCATATACTCGGGCCCCCAATATCTCTACACTTGGCCGCAGTTTCATTGGAAGTTGTTTAAACGGACTCGGAGTCTACTGTGAGCGCAGAATTCAAATTTTAATGGCTGCCTGTGGCTTCGCACACTGTCTCTCTGAGAACTCTGGGATATTTTATGGAATGCGTGCAACTAAGGTAGCTTGGAACTTGTAGGGACATGAGGTCAGAGATACCTGGTGGTGTTGCGTGCGTGTGCGGAAAGCTGACCTAGGGATGAAGCTGTTGCAGCCTAAAGAAAACCATGAAGCTCTGTAAAAACCAGTTGCATCTGGGGCGTCATATCACGTGTCTTTGGTGAATGTTGCAGCATCTTCTCTTAAATCGATAAACTTTTTGATCCATTGGGGGAATTTTCGAGATATATGCCACAACCAGGACAAGCTCAGCCCGGGAACAGGCGTCCGACAAAAGTTGCTTCCATTTTAGCTTTCTCTTCCTTCATCGTAGGAGGCGGATTATGACGTTCATCATGCGGAAGGAGCATATTTTGATCAGAGGACGTGCAGTTGAAGTGAGGGTTGTCAACAGCGCAGTCTTTTCCATCATCGTGCACAGGAGGTGCGGAAGAGTAGACCTGTTGCGGAAACATATGGGGAGCTCCAAAATCTCACTCCATTCCTTTTTAATTTCGAAATTCTAAGAAAAACGCTTAAATGTCTTCTGAACCCGGTTTTCAAATAGCCTCTGGCAAAAGTCTTGCCAATCTGGAGTATACAGACGTCGTAATCACCTTCGAAGAAGAGGAACAGGTGCTGGTGTATTTGGGTGAACTGAACAAAGACATCCTGCCATTTATTGCACACTTCGTACCCACAAAGTATCACACTATCATAATGATGTTTGATCCCAAAAGTTGGGTTGCGTACCGCCAGGCATAATCATAAGGTTAGTCAGAATAGAATTTGAGTTTCATCATGGTTGCAGGTGGTGCAACAAGTGAGAGATAGGGTACAGTCAAGGGAAGGAAGGGCATAGTTGCGGGTGTGTTACCAGTCTGTGTATAGAAGTGCCGTGCCATCATTGCACAGAAATACTTCGGTTTCTGGAGAGCCCTGTACCGAACGTNTCTCTACACTTGGCCGCAGTTTCATTGGAAGTTGTTTAAACGGACTCGGAGTCTACTGTGAGCGCAGAATTCAAATTTTAATGGCTGCCTGTGGCTTCGCACACTGTCTCTCTGAGAACTCTGGGATATTTTATGGAATGCGTGCAACTAAGGTAGCTTGGAACTTGTAGGGACATGAGGTCAGAGATACCTGGTGGTGTTGCGTGCGTGTGCGGAAAGCTGACCTAGGGATGAAGCTGTTGCAGCCTAAAGAAAACCATGAAGCTCTGTAAAAACCAGTTGCATCTGGGGCGTCATATCACGTGTCTTTGGTGAATGTTGCAGCATCTTCTCTTAAATCGATAAACTTTTTGATCCATTGGGGGAATTTTCGAGATATATGCCACAACCAGGACAAGCTCAGCCCGGGAACAGGCGTCCGACAAAAGTTGCTTCCATTTTAGCTTTCTCTTCCTTCATCGTAGGAGGCGGATTATGACGTTCATCATGCGGAAGGAGCATATTTTGATCAGAGGACGTGCAGTTGAAGTGAGGGTTGTCAACAGCGCAGTCTTTTCCATCATCGTGCACAGGAGGTGCGGAAGAGTAGGCCTGTTGCGGAAACATATGGGGAGCTCCAAAATCTCACTCCATTCCTTTTTAATTTCGAAATTCTAAGAAAAACGCTTAAATGTCTTCTGAACCCGGTTTTCAAATAGCCTCTGGCAAAATCTTGCCAATCTGGAGTATACAGACGTCGTAATCACCTTCGAAGAAGAGGAACAGGTGCTGGTGTATTTGGGTGAACTGAACAAAGACATCCTGCCATTTATTGCACACTTCGTACCCACAAAGTGTCACACTATCATAATGATGTTTGATCCCAAAAGTTGGGTTGCGTACCGCCAGGCATAATCATAAGGTTAGTCAGAATAGAATTTGAGTTTCATCATGGTTGCAGGTGGTGCAACAAGTGAGAGATAGGGTACAGTCAAGGGAAGGAAGGGCATAGTTGCGGGTGTGTTACCAGTCTGTGTATAGAAGTGCCGTGCCATCATTGCACAGAAATACTTCGGTTTCTGGAGAGCCCTGAACCGAACGTCAATCATGAGGTAATTGGGC